TATGTTTGAAAGCATGGTCCGACTACTCTCTTATGTCGAATGTCGTGGTTCCGCTGTCTATTGATTCCAAGGATGGCAGGATAATGTCGAGCACTGGAAGGAAGATTGGTCTCTACGATCCAATTGGTAAAACACTTGAGAGGTTGCGCGCAGTAGACGGGATGCCTTGTTGCACAGGTAAAAAGAGGGAACTTCCAAGAGCTTCAGAAGCATTGCAACCAAGCAACAGGCCACGCTCGGGCCACAACATACATGGATGCATGGAATCAGCAACGGGACAAGACATACTGCAGGATTCCTCTTTGAATAAATGCAGCAACAATATGTCTATGGAGAAGCTAAATGCAGAAATCCCTAGTGCAGTTATGTCTGCAGTTCCGTTGTTATACGAGGAGAGCCTAATGAGTTATCCACGTGTGCTCAAAAAGAGGATGTTAGAATGATATGGACATCCTATCAGAAAGGGAACGAAGGCTATCATGTCACATCTAAGGGAATGAAGGCTATCATGTTATATCTAAATTCAGACTAATAATGCCATGTGAAGTAATGATGAGTTGTCAACTTTTTATATTTAGGCCCTGTTTGGTTCATAAGTCTTAGGACTTTTTTTAATCCCAACTTATAAGTCCCAAGTCCCTAAAAAGTCCCTACATGTTTGGTTTTGGGACTTATAAGTCTCCATAAGACCATATTACAACTATAAGTCCTTTTTTGAGAGTCTTATTTCATAAGTCCCAAATGCCCACTTTAAGTCCCTATAAGTCTCTCCTGTTTGGTTTAGATGGGACTTATAGGAACTTATTTAAGTCCCTAGACCAATAAGTCCTTGGAAACAAACACCCTCTTAGCTCAAGTGTATTGAAAGATAAACATTCACCAGTTTTTTTAGGGGAGGTAGTCTTTCACTAGGCGATTAAAGGGTATCATTATTTGTATATCCAAGTGTGGAAGCTGACAAATAAAGTGCTACAATAGCGTTTGTCCATCAATATAGATGTATGTACGTACAAATAAAGTGCGGCGATGGATTGGCGGCAGTGGTGGCCGACGTAAGGCTATGGTGAGGTGGCGGCGGCAGATGCGGTAGGCAGAGGACAACCGGTTGGCTATTCATTGTGATAAAAATGTTATCGAATATGGCTCCGACGATGGTGTGGCTCCGACAACATGAGAGGTTGTTCGAAAGACCATGCTCGATCCGAGAGTGAACTAGCCATGCCTCGTAGTTTAGGGCACTGTGTAAAATTTCTCGCTGAACGGGCATGATTTTATGATATTTCATTTTGAACAATTACCATGTGTTCCGGTATGTATGATAAGAGCAACTTCGTCTGCCTCCATTTGAGTCGGCACGGATAAAAGTGGAGGCCCAACGCGCCGACCCAAACCCAAATCTCGTCCTCCTGGCGTCCGCGCCGCGCGTCTCTTTGGCATCCGCCGCGTCCCCACCTGTAGGCCACCCAACTACCGCCCGTTGTCTTATTTATGACGACCACCGACAACGGGCCCACTAGTCAGCTAGTGGAAGCGTCCTTTTTTAACCATGCGTGCGGCGGGGGCCGGCCTCATCCACTTCCGTCCACATCTGGCCCCCACCACTCCCTTTGCTTCCTCGCTGGCAACAGAAAACCCTAGCAAGCGATAGGCCTCTTCGGCAGCATCAGCGACAAGGGCAAGGGCAAGGGCACCCCCGACGCATCGTCCTCCCGTGCTCCTCCTTCCCCTCCTCCTCCGGCGCTGGCGCGTTTCGGCTCAGGTCACCGGCGCCTGCACATCCCGGTGCACTAAGCGCGGTGGCGCTGGGAGTACAGACAGTCGCTGCCCTACCCTGACGTCACGTGCCGCACCACTGGCACCTGGATCCGCACCGGATCCCGGTGCCGGCGGTTCCGCGGACCTAGCGGGCGTACGATGAGGAGGTGCAGGCGCTGCGCGCAGCTCACGCCGGAGCAACGGCGGATGCCCGAGTACGCCGCTGACTCTCCTAACTGGGAGGCTTGGTTTGCCCTCGAACACGAGGAGCAACAGCGTGTAGGCGTCGACACCGTCCCGCCGCCGTTTTCACCGCCGCCCCGGCGGGTAGAGCCGAAGGAAATGGAGGCGGATGCGGAGTACCAAGCTGTCCTCGAGGAGGCCCTGCAGCACGCGCTGGAGGCTAGCCGTCTCGAGGAGGACGCTCACTGTTGGAAATATGCCCTAGAGGCAATAATAAATTGATTATTATTATATTTCCTTGTTCATGATAATCGTTTATTATCCATGCTAGAATTGTATTGATGGAAAACTCAGATACATGTGTGAATACATAGACAACACCATGTCCCTAGTAAGCCTCTAATTGACTAGCTCGTTAATCAATAGATGGTCACGGTTTTCTGACCATGGACATTGGATGTCATTGATAACAGGATCACATCATTAGGAGAATGATGTGATGGACAAGACCCAATCCTAAGCCTAGCACAAGATCATGTAGTTCGTATGCTAAAGCTTTTCTAATGTCAAGTATCATTTCCTTAGACCATGAGATTGTGCAACTCCCGGATACCGTAGGAGTGCTTTGGGTGTGCCAAACGTCACAACGTAACTGGGTGGCTATAAAGGTACACTACAGGTATCTCCGAAAGTGTCTGTTGGGTTGGCACGAATCAAGACTGGGATTTGTCACTCCGTGTAAACGGAGAGGTATCTCTGGGCCCACTCGGTAGGACATCATCATAATGTGCACAATGTGACCAAGGAGTTGATCACGGGATGATGTGTTACGGAACGAGTAAAGAGACTTGTCAGTAACGAGATTGAACAAGGTATCGGGATACTGACGATCGAATCTCGGGCAAGTATCGTACCGCTAGACAAAGGGAATTGTATACGGGATTGATTAAGTCCTTAACATCGTGGTTCATCCGATGAGATCATCGTGGAGCATGTGGGAGCCAACATGGGTATCCAGATTCCGCTGTTGGTTATTGACCGGAGAACGTCTCGGTCATGTCTGCATGGTTCCCGAACCCGTAGGGTCTACACACTTAAGGTTCGATGACGCTAGGGTTATAAAGGAAGTTTGTATGTGGTTACCGAATGTTGTTCGGAGTCCCGGATGAGATCCCGGACGTCACGAGGAGTTCCAAATGGTCCGGAGGTAAAGATTTATATATGGGAAGTCCTGTTTTGGTCACCCGGAAAAGTTTTGGGGTTTATCGATAACGTACCGGGACCACTGGGAGGGTCCCGGGGGTCCACCAAGTGGGGCCACCAGCCCCGGAGGGCTGCATGGGCCAAGTGTGGGAGGGGACCAGCCCCAGGTGGGCTGGTGCGCCCCCCCACAAGGGCCCAAGGCTTAAGGAAGAGGGGAAGGGGGCAAACCCTAGGGCAGATGGGCCCTAAGGCCCACCCTGGTGCGCCTCCCCCTCTCCCCTCCCCTTGGCCGCCCCTAGATGGGATCTAGGGGGCTGCCGCCACCCCTAGGGAGGGAACCCTAGGTGGGGGCACAACCCCTCCCCTTCCCCTATATATAGTTGAGGTATGGGCTGCCCATAAGAAATAAGTTCTTGACCTCTCCCTGGTGCAGCCCTACCTCTCTTTCTCCTCATATCTCGCGGTGCTTGGCGAAGCCCTGCTGAAGTACCACGCTCCTCCACCACCACCACGCCGTCGTGCTGCTGCTGGATGGAGTCTTCCCCAACCTCTCCTTCTCCCCTTGCTAGATCAAGGCGTGGGAGACGTCACCGGGCTGTACGTGTGTTGAACACGGAGGTGCCGTCCGTTCGGCACTAGGATCATCGGTAATTTGGATCACGACGAGTACGGCTCCTTCAACCCCGTTCTCTTGAACGCTTCCGCTTAGCGATCTACAAGGGTATGTAGATGCACTCTCCTTTCCCTCGTTGCTGGTTTCTCCATAGATAGATCTTGGTGACACGTAGGAAAATTTTGAATTTCTGCTACGTTCCCCAACACTCTCTAGGATGGACTGGAGCAAGCCCTTGCACTGTCGGCGGCGGGGGACTCCATCCACACCCCGCTCCTCGTCTCGCCTCCGCCACTGCCCGTCGAGCTCAAGCTGAATCCGGAGTCGACGCGGAAGCACTCCCCGCCTCCACCCACTTGGCCGGAGGAGACCTACATGTGGACAGGCCAGCACCGCGAGTGGGTGAGCGCGCCTCTTGTCCACTACGCCGCGACGCCAACGCAGGAGGCGGCCCACCTTGAGCGCTGGAAGGCGCACTGGCTCCGCCAGGAGTAGGCCAACGGCGAGCGACAGATGCGCTACGAGGTGATGCTGCAACTCGACGGGGAGGTGCTCTGGCTTGAGGAGGAGCGCGCGCGGCGAGCCGCAATGCCGCCGCCCCAGCAGACGCTGGAGGAGGCTGCCCTGGCAGCGTACTAGGCGGCGTTCGGGTGGGCTAGCCCTGCTCCTGTCTTCATCAACCTCACCGGCGGCGATGGCGATGGCGATGTCGACGTCAAGGGCAAGGACAAGGCCGACAACGTTTAGGGCAACGTGCGGGGCGGCGTAGACTTTTTTATGTTTTAATTAATGTTTAATAAGGTTTAAGTGGATTTTAACTGGCAGTTGAACGGCCACTTATGTTTAATTATGTTTATTTCTGCAAGCTGTTTTTTTTCACGCTGGCACATTCGGGTTCGCCTCTTGTTGGGCAATCAAACCGATCCATTTGAAAATGCGGATGTACACATCCGTCTGGCTGACTCAAACGGACGAAAAGCGGACAAAGCGCGCGTCTGTTTAGGTCGCCCCGTCAGAGTTGCTCTAAGTTTTTTTCTTAGAGGATGTATGATCAAATTGCCAAAGTAGAAACTGTTGCACGATGAAATTCCCTATGAACAAACGTTGGCCGGCTGTTTGACACAATGGGTCTGTGAGTCTGTCAGCAGCGCACACACAACCAAACACCCTTCCGTCGGCGGTTGCGCGGCCCAGCGATCCACCAACCCGCGCCGCCGCTCCAATCCGCGCGCGCCGGCGGGGCGCCATGGCCGGCTGGATCTCCTCCAAGCTCAAGGCCGCGGAAACCCTCCTCCACCAAGCAAGCGCCGCGCTCCTCCCTCTCGTTCGTCCTCACCGCCCTCTCCAGCTCTTCTAACCATCCACTCGTCTTCTCCCACAGATCGACCAGCAGGCGGCGGAGTCGCTCGGCAAGTCCTCCTCCGCCTCCGACCTCACCGCCCTCCAGCAGCCCTCCTCCGCCGCGCTCCTCGACGCCCCCGCGCCGCGCAGGCCGCCGCCGGCGACCCCGCCCCCCTCCCTCGGCCTCCGCATCGCCGCCAGGCGCCACTCCCAGCCTCCCCCTCCGCCCCCCTCCGCGCCCCGCCGCTCCGCCTCCGCCGCGGCGGATCTCTCGGCGCAGGATCAGCCCGGTGCCGAGCCTGCCGTCGCGGTTGAGGCGAAGGCGGAGGGGGATGGGAGGGATCGGGAGGAGGCCGAGAAAGGAGGCCCGTCTGAGAGCGGGAGCGGGAGCGATGACGATTCCGATGGGTCCGGGAGCGACGACTCGGAGGAGGAGAGGCGGAGGGAGGAGGAGCGGAGCCGGCGGCGTGCCGAGCGGCTCGCGGCGATGGCGGCACGAGCCATTGCAGAGAGGGAGGAGGCCGTGGCGAGGCTGGAGGGGGAGAAGACCAGCCTTGAGAAGCTGCTCGCCGTGCGTGAGAAGGAGCAAGCACAGGAGGTGAGTCTGCTTCAATCTTCGTGGCGATTTTAGGTTCTCTTGTGTAGCCTGAGAGATTGCTACTATGTCCTACGACTCGATGAGCGGATTGAAAGAGAATGTTGCAAGCCTTAGCATTGATGATTACTCTACTTTAGCCATTCATGGAACGTTTGAATTGGTACAGGAGGTCATGCATATTTTTAGAGTCAGTTCAGGCAGTGTTTTGTACTATAAGAAGCAATAAATAAGAACCCAAAACTAACGCATGAGAAGACAATCAGCATTAGTCGTTAAATAAGCGTTCAATTAGTCAATTGAGAGTTTGAGACCACTCAAAAAAAATATATCCATGAGCACTATACACTAAAAAGCCCCATGAGAAAAATATAGCAATACACAATCAACGGATCACAGACTGAAATCAGTGCTAAAAAGTAAAAAACTCAGAGCAGTAACAGACTGGTGATAGGCTGATAGCAAGAGCAAAGTCCATCAACATAATTGGAATTCCCATGGCCAGGTTGCTTACTGCCATTGTTAAGATGAGCATAAAGTTGCATAGCAAGGGAAATGTCAAATTATATCATTCTTGTCAAATGTCTGCTTCTGTCTTCTCACAACTGTGTATTGTGACAAGATTGGTTGACAACTCAATTTCATATAATAAGTTGTCATGTGAGTTTGATTTCCAGAAAATGATATTTCTTTATCATCATTCTTTTCCAACTATTTTCATGTTTAATTGCAGGCTTCAGAGTTGCAGACTAGTATGATTGAAACCATGGAAGCTACAGAGATAGAGAAACAACGGCATCACAGCACTAGAATGGAAGCCCTTGTGCGGTTGGCTGAGCTTGAGGTGTGTGTCACCATGTTTAGAATGATGCATCTGTTCTTGTTGCCCTGCTTTTACAACAAGCAACACAATATACCCCTTTTTACTTTTGTGGCAGAGAATATTATGTTCTCAGTTTCCTAAAAGTGTGTGTATTAGGCTTTATACTTGCAGTATATAAGGCCCATATCTCTTACCACTTGCAGCATAAATTGGACATGTTAGTTTGTATAATCACTACAAGTCTCAACAATGTCTTTACCAAATATCTATGCAGGTTACAAATGCAGAGCTTGCAAAGTCACTTGCCAGGGAACAATGGAATTTGGAAGTTCAAGTATGTTTTATTTTCCTCTTCTACCTCATCTCTCTATGTCAGTTGACTGACTGTTGTTATTCATTTCCAGTTCCTTTTAGTACCTAAAGTTTGTCTGTATGTACAAGCGCACTTCCTCTGTATATACTATATACAGTTTTGCCGTGGACAACATTTTTTCAATCTTTGGCCGAAACAGTCAGTTAGGCATAGGATAGGGGTGTTGTGATTTCTACATTGTTAAAACAAAGGTATAGCCACTATCCTTACATTGTAACTATTTTGAGAATCAATTGAACCATGAAGTGCAATAATGTTATTAACTTGTACTGTATAACAAGAATATCATAGTGTCTATACTTGTGGTTCGGGGATCAGTTATAATTAGCTACCAACTTACCTACGCATTATAGTTGCTAACATTATGATAATATTCTAAAACACGCACCAAGCGTGGGCACAGCAAAGAACTGCCAGAATTTTAAGATTTTTTCTTCCCTTTTAGATTGGGAGAACACAGGCATTTGCTAGTGCCTATATCGTGCAGAGTACATGGCCCAGTTTTTGGCATTTACCAAGAAGGAAGAGTGTATGTAGAAAGTCTTATTGTATGCTATGTGGGTCCGAACCGCATATAAGAGTGCCAGTAGAAGATTAGCTTATTTCATGCTTCTTTTTTGAATTTAGAGAATGATGGCATTTGTTCGCGCTTGTATCGTGCAAAATTCAAGTCCCAATTCTTGATTGATTGTTTTCTAAAATGCTTCCATTAAGACGTAATTGGTGTATTTGGATCGGGATTGTCTAAAATGAGCATGCTCTATGTATTCATACACAAATATGATTAAGTGGCTAGTGGAAAATAGTTGCCATAGACCCTGGTAGTAGGAGTTGGACGAGCAGCGGAATACTACACCAATGTTGAGCAGAGTTTAAAATTTTGTTTTTCTTTCTATTATGAGTAGGTTGATCAAGTGGCTCATCTCCGAGAGGAAGTTGACTTGAAGACTTTTGCTCAAGACAGTAAGTCGGCCATTCTTTGGCTTTCTGTTCCTTTTGAGCTTTAAACACTTTTGTTTCTGATTATTACGCCAATTTGATATTATTAGCTTGACATTCTTTTCAGGAAGTTTCTCATTAGTAAATAGCACTAGTATTTCATATTCACTACATACGTCTTTATTTTTCAATGAGCAGAGTACAAGAGAAAGATAGCGAAGATACAGAAGACAAGTGCCCCTTTGGTTGATGAAGTATGCATTTGAATTACCCTTGATGTTATTTGTCTTCTATTCCATACGAAAGAAATGATGTTTGTTAAGCTGTTCAATTAAAAATATTAACTTAAGAAAGGCTTATCTTTTCCATTTGTAAATTTGTTGTGATTTTGTCTAGATAGAATCCTTGAGAAGATTAAAGCTGGAAGACGAAATCATTGATGCAGAATACACCCAGACCTGTGATAGAATTGTCAGCTTGAAGGACAAGGTATGTTCTCCGGGCTAAGCTTGAAAATCGATGGTTCATTTATGTTACTTCATATGTTGATCTAGGGATTCTGTCCATATATTGCTTTACGCAATAATTGTTCTGTACTTTAGCATAGTACTGCTCAGGATTTGTTCCAGTGGAGTGCGAACTAGCTAAATATTTTGAGATCCCATTGATCTGGTTTGAGACGAAGGGGAGCCTTGGCGCAGTGGTAAAGCTGCTGCCTTGTGACCATGAGGTCATGGGTTCAAGTCCTGGAAACAGCCTCTTACAGAAATGTAGGGAAAGGCTGCGTACTATAGACCCAAAGTGGTCGGACCCTTCCCTGGACCCTGCGCAAGCGGGAGCTACATGCACCAGGTTGCCCCTTTATTGATCTGGTTTGAGACACAGAGGTCAAAATAACTTTTATGTTTTTTACTGTATACATGTTTCTTTTATGCTTTACATCATCGGGTAAAGGGGCGGAAATAAATTATAACCACAAATTAATAGCACATAGCTATCTAACTTTTTGTAGAATATTATTTGTGTATGTGCACCTTAGAGCATGCTATTCTTAGTACTATCCAGTGCTTATAGGCTGAGTGTCATTTGTTGAGTTTTTTAATTTTTGTTTGCAGAAATTAGTTAAAATTAGATTAAACAATTGTCTGCATCGTGATTTCCTTTTTTATCCATAGGCAAGGAAGATTGAAGAAAACATTGAGCTGACAAGAAGGGACATGGTGCAACCTACAGAGGTTGAAATTGAGCTCAAGAAGAGGCTCGATCAACTCACCGATCGGTTGATTCAAAAACAAATGCAGGTTAGCTCCTTGTATGTGCTGGTCCCGTGTTTGATTTCTGAATTATGATTGGAAACCTATTATATTTTATGGCATGTCTTGGGATTCCTGAATTGTGATTGGAAACGATTATATTTTATAGCATGTCTTGGAACTTCAGCACCCTTTTTATTCCAAATAGCTATTTGCAGAGGAAAATAATGCTTGACTAATTTTGCTTGGTTATAAATTTGTTAGCTAATGTAATGACCATTGGTTGATGTCATTATCTTTCTAGATAGTGGATCTGTCAATCTTCCTTGAAACCATTGGTTGATGTATGCTTTGGTACACTATGTAACGTTGAGATTAAAACGTCTTCTTTTTTCAGGTCGAGTCCCTGTCTTCAGAGAAGTCAACTTTGGTACTGAGAATGGAGGTATGCACATGTAAACCCACCCACCATATTCAATTCATTATAGTTTGCAGATTCCCAGTCAATCTACTCGGTTAAAACCACGCGCAAGTCAACTGACATCGTTCGTCCATCATCTTCAGGCTGTTTCGAGGTCGCTTGACACCAACGCCTCGTCGCTGGCGTCTTCAAGCTCGTCATCAAGGATAGACATCGAGGCCGGTACATGGCAAGATTCATATTCATCATATTCTTCCCCAAGGCTGCGTGACAGGATACGGACTGGGCAGCAGCACCTGGGATACGCGATACGGCAGCTCGACTCCATCTTCTCGGCTGGTCACATCTTCCTGCGGCGTAACCCGAAGGCGCAGGTCGGGGCTGCAGTGTACCTGGTGTGCCTCCACATATGGGTCATGTACATACTGTCGTCGCATCCTGCTGTCCCGGACACCCGCCCCGGCGCCACCTTCTCTCTGGAGTCGATCAACAAGACTAGCATTTAAGTATTTAACCATGTGTGTTCTCTCTGTATTTTTGTTTTCCTTGTGTACATCATAGATATATACGTAGCCTATTGCTGTGCACTGTGCAGCGAGCAGCGAGACACATTACGACTTGTTGACATATCACAGATGACTTTACTAGTTTTGTGCTCGGTAGGCGAAGTGACCTGATGGATGGTTATACCAACTCAAATATGAACAACCTGAATAGCAATTCTGTCACATATGATTTCCCCCCTCTGGCACCTCATTTTCTGCAGTAACGTGCACTTAAGGTACAAACCAGCTTCGCGTGTGGAAGGAGCGATGGGTTTAGGTTTGATATTGCCTTGGAAGATGAATTGGCCTCCAAAGTGTGCAAAGAGATTCTTCAGAAAAGTATTCGGACACAGTGGTACTGACTTACGAATAATATTACAACACGGTTAAAAATCATAATCTTGAGCAGACGATGAGTCGATGATAGTGTAAGATGTTTTTTAACACTACAGGGAGTAATTTTGACCAATGTGGTCTGATGAGTACTACAAGATCTGGGTAATCTGTTTTTTGGGGAGAACTACTGGACCAGTGGTCTGATGAGCACCATAAGATCCGGGTAATATGGGAGATTCAACTTGTACTTTCATACATCATAGCTTCATGATATACTGAATGTAAGCTCCAAATCATAGGAATCCTGTGTAAAAAATAAAGCAAACTGAAGTGGTGTGAAGCATCACCAAACCACTGGCTCTAGATGCTACGTTTCACAGTACAAAATCATGGTAAGTATTTTAACTACTTAAATGCAAATAGTATATCTCGATAAGTATAGGACATGTGGTACTAAATGTCCATCGTGTTCTATTTCTTGAATATAAGACTAAAGAAAATAATGAGAAACCCACACAGAAAGACTGATGGGACGATGAGTGGGTCTGCACAAATATCATATGTAAGTATTATGTAATATTTGAAGTTCACATGTAATGTGTCAGCCAAAATATTAAACGTTTCTGACCTGTACCAACAACGTTCAATCATATTGCATGAAGAAATGCAGGCCAAGAAAGCCGCTCCTCGAGTAGAAGGTGCGACCCCAAAAACAGGTGTGTAGATTGTTGTAGAGGTTCTCTAGGAAAAGAGCTTGTCGAGCATGTTTCCTGTAAGCATAAGAGAAAAGTCGTCTAGCTCGATGCAGAAATCAACCTCTCAGGAATGCATGAGAGAGCTTGAAGAAAGGCTTGCAACTCAGAAGTCAGAGGCGAAAGCGTCAACTCAAAGGTATCAACAAGACCTGAATTCCAGAATAGTTGCCGAACAACAACAAAATTGAAGAGCTCAGAAGGAAACAACAAAAATAAATCGAAGCTCCGAAGAAGGAATAACAGGAGAAAATCGTTGTTCTTGAGATTAGGTTGTTGTTGTGATATTTGTAGAAGTTTCTTAATCAGTAGAAGGGATTGGATTGTTGTTGGGATTTTCTAAATCTATCGACTTTGCTAGAGTTTCTATTTACATTTTAGTTTTGGACTAGCTGTTACAGTATCTTTTCACCACACAATCACGTTCATATTGGGATTAACCGTTGTGTAGTGCACAAAGTATTGGTCGTTTTTGTCGATTGGCTTCAGGTTCGATACCACAGACCTGGAGCTAATGGAACACCTTGAGGCCAAAGTGAGGGATAAGGGCGCTATATCTCACTCTTTGATTGATGATTATAATTTCTATAGGTATCACAGAAGGCACAAACATAATTTTTTTTGAACTGTGTACTTGTAGTATTTATTGGACTGTATACTTGTAAAAAAATATGCATGATACTGGTTCTGGTATGGGATCCATATTGTCAGATCCAGGCTAGACCATCATTGCAAGACCGAGAGCGGGAATACTTCACCATTAAGGAACGACTGCGTGGGACAATCTCCAACATGCGATGCTACACAGAATTTGCGAAATGCTTATCGAAAACCGAGGTGGCCTTGGAGACCTCAGATGCGGTCTAGTGATCAGGACTTGACTTTGGAAGACAGACTCGTTGAACCAGTTTTAAAGACCGACAACCGAAGAAGAAGAAGAACACGGAAAGGCAAGGCCGATATACATCCAGACTTGAAGACCAGTTCAGTGGCTATTGACGGTGTCCCGGACTGGGGGTCTCTCATCACGTCTTCTCCTGGCCTGGTGGCCCAGGCCAGGCCAGGGACCCCATGTCGGTTCACCAATGGGCCATGTCAATGGCCCATGGCGTATGAAAGGAAGAGTCCCGAAGACTTGTCATATACACCAAGATACTAGAAATCGTCTACAACTCGCTCTCCTCGTATGTAGCCGACTAGGGTGTAACCCTAGTCCCCTTTCGTTATAGGGTTAGATCATCTGTAAATTATACCGAAAGACATACAACAATCTCGGGGTAGATCAGTTGTACATTATACTCCACCCAAAAGCAATAAACAGAAGTAAGACGTAGGGTTTTATCTCTCCTTAGAGCCCGAACCTGGGTAAAAACTCGTGTCCTCGTTACCATCGTCTCTAGACCCTTAGTTCGGGACCCCCTACCCGATATGTCGGCATTGACTCCGTCAGTGTTGGTGACAGATCAGGAAAGCTCCAATTGGTTGATCAATTTGCAAAAAGCTCCAATTGGTTTGAGAGAATGCACAACCGATCTACAACAGCGATGGTTGATCAATCGGGTTTGGTTGTCATGAACATATTCTGCTGCTCCTTGACACGCCTCTACAACTAATGCCAAGCCTTGATGTCAAGCAAGTTGTGACGGTCGGTTGTTGATACTTATGGCGGACTTGTTGTCGGATCACGCATAATGAAACATGTACACCACCTATGAGGTGGCCCATGTCGGTCCTAGCCATTGCAAGCAACTTTCAGAAAGCCTTCTCAAAGAATTCTACTACACTAGAGCAGAAGTGGTTCCAACCCGAGCCAAACTTTATAAAATTGAATGTTGATGCTGCATACTTTGAAGAAAAAGGCGCGGGTGCAACGACAACTATTCTACAGGACGATCAAGGTAAGTTCCTAGCGGCCGAGTGTAAACTTGTTCCATATGCAGCAGATGTGGTGACAACCGAGACAATGGCTCTGAGAGATGGTACCGACAAGCAGTTTAGGTTTCTATTGTGTGGAGCCGGAGTCCAACTCTCAAGATGTGATCAATTTTTATACTAGGCAAACAAGATGGTGGGATGCGGTGTTTGCAATCTTTGCGGAATGTGTTGACATTTGAGCTACGATTGGGAAGGTCAAATTCAAGCACTGTTATCGTTTAGCTAATCAAGCGACACATGTGCTAGCTATTTTCAGTTTTTTGTAGTAAGTTATCCAGTAGATGGACTGGTGATCCTCCAGATTGTAACTCTATTTTGCGATTAATATAGTCCATCATTGTCTTGGAGCGAAATAGTGGTGCATGGGCACCATGGCGCCCTTTTTTCTTAAAAAAAATTAGAAACATATTTAGAAGTTTTTAAAAAATTCAAAAAAAATCTGTGGAAACTTGTATGTGTCCTCTATGGATCCATAAAATTTTGTTTTGAAAAAAAGTAATTTGTAAGCTGTACAAAAAAACAAAATTCCAGACAAAAAAAGAGAGGCCCATTTAAAAATACGTATTTGTCTTTTCGTTCTAGGTGACGTGTGAAATTTTGCACATACGAAATATACATGTGCGTGTGTGTTTACAAAAAAATTCAAATTATTTTTGCGCTGTAGAAAATAGTTTTTTTAGAATTGTAGAAAATAGTTTGCACATACCAAATAATTTGGCCAACGATAGGCGCCGGCGCACCGGCCCAAATTTGGGCCGGTCGCTGCCCAGCCGTTCGATTCGGGCCCGTTCAGTCATTGGATTGAGTCTTCTTAACCGTATCTTCTTCTTCCTCGCGCTCCTCCATGCTCGTACCTTGCCGCCGGTCGCCGCCCTCAGCTCCAGTAACTACCTATCAGACTCGAAGCACCACCCCACGGTCTCGCCCGTCGCTGCCCATGCCGCCGGCCGCCGGTCTCGCCGTCATCATCTCATGTCGCCGGATCCACGCATGCAGCAACTTTCGGCTGCGGTTGCAGCTCCTTCACTGGCAGTGGCAGCTCCGGTCGCCGGCCTCGCCGCCTCCATCTCATGTCTTTCTTGCCGGATCCACGCATGCAACAACTTTCACCCGCGGTTGCAGCTCCCTTGCTGGCGGTAGCAGCTCCGGTAGCGTTGGTCGCCGGTCGCAACACACCGGCGACGAGCTCGCAAAAAAGTACTGGTTTGCTGGTGGCAACAAAAATGTCAGCCGGTAGTAGCAAAATATTGTGCTGGTTCCAGCAAAAAATGTTCGCCGGTGCCGCCACCACGTTGTCATTGAAGCAAAATCGATCACCGGTTGTAGCTTTTGTGATTGCCGGTTGTAGCTTTTGTGATTACCGGTTGCAGCAAAAACAACTTCTAGTTCCAGCTCACGTCGGTACTTCCAGCAAAAACTCTCGTCCGCCGCCCTCCGCGGTTGCAATATCTTTCCTACACGGTTGTAGCATTGACTCTATTGGTTCCAGCAAATCTCACTCCGCAAAAATCTGTCGCCTTTCATTTCCAGCTTTTTTATTCGTCGGCTCCAGCTTTTTATTTCGTCGGTTGCAGCGTTTTTCTCAGCCGGATGCAACACTTTGTAGCAGAGTAGAACTTACGGTGGCTGGAGGTAGAAGAAAGGTAACCGATAAGGCAAGAGATAACCAGGGAGAAAAAAAGGACAGTCACGCGGGCCCATAATGTACACGTGAGACGTGGGGGAGCAGTTTGCCTGGGACTGCGCCGGCGTGGCATGAAAGTTAACGTGATATGCGTGTTGTGCGCGCGAGTGAGCGCGACCGGCCGAAAGTTGCGCCGGCACGCCGTATGTAAGCGTTTCCCAAATAATTTTCCGTGCACAACTTGCAATTTTTGATCATGGTCTTCCTTATAAAATAACTTTCACATACAATTTCATTTACTTTTTGTTTTGTTT